CCCATAAGGGGCGTGCACAAGAGCCTGCTCTCCCTCGCCTCCTCCCGTGGCATGATCTCCAGCAACCAATCCGCTTCTTATGATCTCCAGCAACCAATCCGCTTCTTATGATCTCCAGCAACCAATCCGCTTCTTATGATCTCCAGCAACCAATCCGCTTCTTATGATCTCCAGCAACCAATCCGCTTCTTATGATCTCCAGCAACCAATCCGCTTCTTATGATCTCCAGCAACCAATCCGCTTCTTATGATCTCCAGCAACCAATCCGCTTCTTATGATCTCCAGCAACCAATCCGCTTCTTATGATCTCCAGCAACCAATCCGCTTCTTATGATCTCCAGCAACCAATCCGCTTCTTATACGTCATAAATGGGACCTTTGGGGCATATATAAGCAACAGCTCTCCCACTTCTCGGCGTCTTTGGTCTTCAGTCTTCAAATAAACTGCTGCAGAAGGATCCTGACTTGTCCTCCCGCGTCATTCTTGCCGGCGAGACGGAAAGCGGTCGGGGACACTCAATAATACTTCTTTGAAGGAAAAATAGAATTCAGGTTTGGTAGCTAAAACTGGAGAAAGAAAGGAATTCTGGATATTTCTTTTAGAGCCTGGAGAGATGGCTCAATGGTTAAGAGGACTTGTTGATCTTTCAGAGGAAGTGTTCAGTTCCCAGTACCCATTACATGTGGCTCACAACATCTTGAAACTCCATCTCCAGGGTACCTGAGAACGTGTTCCAGACCCTGCTGTCATCCACATCCTTGTGTGAATGTGCAAGAACAGACACATGCACACACATTCAAACACACATAAGTAATCTTTAAAAATCTTTAAGAGATTCAGGTGACACAAATTTATGGGGATTATGCAAGAATTGTGGCAAAGTCAGTGGATGAATATAATATTTATCTTAGATTTCATTTTTATTATATTTATTTTGTGTATGAATGTATTGTGTACATGTACTATTGTGCAATGCCTATGGAAGTCAGAATAGGGTGTCAGATCCCCCTTGAACTGGAATTATATATGGTTGTTAGTCACCATGAGGATTTTAGAAACTGAACCAGGGTCCTCTGCAAGAGCAGCCAGTTCACTTAACTGCTGAGCCATCTCTCCAGTCCCATATCTTAGCTTTTAAATATCCATAGATCAGTGGAATTATAACAGTAGTTACAAGGGAAGATAATAAATATATTTATGTCAAGCATAATATCTCACTTCTAGGAAGAACTAACTTATTTTATTGAACTAAATGTATTGAAATGGGGATACATACAAAGATTGAATTATACAAATATAATTGTTGAGTGCTGTGGAGTAGAGTGAGCATAGAATGGTTGTTAGTATATTCATTCAGTCATGAACATACAAATCTTAAAGGGGTCAAACATATATGTACAAAAGGAATGGTTAATCATACAGTTTAGTACATTAGATTGGATAGTGATATGGGAAACTATGATTTTGAGAAAAGTGAACAGATAGTTTGAAATATATGATTATAAATGTATTGAAGCACACATAAAGTAGATTTGAGAAGACAGAGTTCAAGACAATATTCCCTAAGAAATCTGGTATTGATGTGTATGTTGAGTAGTAGAAGTTCTGGGAGAGAACTGAGAAGAAACATGTAGATTACAAGTAAAATATTTACAAAGAGTCATTCATTCAAGTTGATGTTTCTGTGATATGAAACATACTGAATATACCTGGTAAAAATTTCAATATTTAGATTATTGGTTCAATTGTTTATTTTCCGTGAAAATATTTCTGTATTTTTTGTATTTATAAGATCCAAAATTAAAACTGGGGAGTTTTTGAAATATTAATGACTTACATTGCATCAATAAATTTTAAAATCAAACACTCAAAGTGAAACTATGAATGTATTTTCTTATAAAATGAATATGATCTACAGCAATAAATAAAATGACTTGTTTATATTTAATCAGCCTTTACAGAGTATATGAGAAATAAGAACTCAAGAAAAGGAAATATACATGAACTTTGTAAGAAAGTCTACTTAATAAGAATGGGATAAATTTTGTTGTATTTGATGATCATGTTTAAAGCTAACGAATTTCAAATTTAATAATTGCATTGAATCGTTTAAAGTATGTATATTCTTGGAACTTTTCAATGTACAGAATTAAAGTTATTAAGAATATAGTCTTGACTAATACCTGGAAAAAATATTCTCTTATCCCAACCGTTCCATGTTTTGGTTTGACTGCATCTTTATTTTATAGCAATTACCCGAATCAAAGCAAAATAAATCCTCATTTCATCTATAGTTAAAAACACCTGTGCAGCTTTTATCAATTCAAAGATAGAGATGTGTAGAATTGTTTCCTCCATTCTCCATTATTACAGGATTCCCTAGAAAAGCTCTGATCTTACAAAAGCAGCTGCTTGTATTTAGTGATAATCCTCTGTACTATTAGCTTTGTCTTTTGGGATAGGAAATTGATTACCTGACCTTATCATGGAGAAGCCTCTATATGTGTCTTAAGTTCTGCCTCAGATGATAAATCAGTTATGTAAACATTGAAAAACAATTAGGAGCACAGTGATTCAAATTAAATGGTTTCAAATTAAATGGTTGTTGCATTTACATTTTCCATATTTGGTAAATTTGGATATTTCTGTAAACGTGTCTATACTTTTTTCATACAACACAAAATAATCATATTTAGACCCCTTTTTCTGTCTGCAGTCCCCCATAGCTCCCAATAAATTTCATTCACTGTCATATATGTTAAGGCTTTTCTTGTCAAGTTTGTTACTCAAGATTTCCCTCTGTGTGAGTTCATCTATTGAACCTGCTCAGCCTATCTAGTATCACTCCCTTAAAGCAGACTAAATGTTAACCCGCCCAGCAGTGATCAGCTTCCAATAGTTCCTTGACTAAGGTTGGGGCTTCTTGCCCATTTCCATAGTTTTATGCTGGGTTTTTGCCTGACTGAGTTTGCATGGATCTTGTAAATGTTGACACCATTGCTGTACATTCATAGGAGCAAGAAACCTGGAAATCTCTGCTTCCTTGTGGTTATCCATCACTCCTGGCTTTTTCAAACTTTCTGCCTCTTCTTCTGCAATGATTCATGAGCCCTGGGTGATTGAGGTTTACTATAGAATTTCCATCCAGGGACATACCCTCTGCAGTCTCTTATTGTCAACATTTTGGCCAGTTGCTTTCTGTGTTAATTTCCCTCTGTTGCATGAGGAATTCTCCTCTGGTGAGAATTGAGAAACTCATAAGTATTCATTTTAGGAAAGCGAATCACACCAGTAGACTTATATAGTGTAGTTTCAACACTACTGCTCTATGGCAGCAGTACTTTTCAGTCCACAAAAATCACAGGTTGCAAGCATTTCTATTCATAACCTGAATAAAGAAGACCAGTGGCAATAAACTGAAGCTTTATCTTGATCATTCCTTATTAAACATTTCACCAATTAGATGGCAATAAAAAATTTAAAATTTCAGTGTCACTCTAAGTAACATATACTTTTTGTCTGCAATGTGCTCTATTTGCAATACAAAATTAATGCTGTCATAAATACATACACATCAGTATCTTATAATCCACAGTTCTTTTGTTCCTTATCTTTATAATAATTTATTGGTGTTACAGAAGGTTCAGCAGCATAATGTCACAGAAACAGTAAGAGAAAGATTACACCACTCCAGAAAAGACAGATATTTTCTTTGATTAAATGTCCAGAATCAACCTGGACAATGATTTTATTTCCTGGGTCATGAATAAAATGAAAGTGCAATAGCAAACATTTCCTGAGAGCTTGATTTTGATGGTAAAGTCTCAGGAGTATGTGGAATATAGACACTGAGCTCAGCTTTTGAGGCTGGTAATGACACATACTGCACATGCACATACAATGTAAAATTATTTCCACGTTTGACTTTGAAAATGTATATTTTCCCATTGGAAATCCAGTCTTCCAAATGGCCTGATGTTTTTCTTATTTTCAGAATCTTACCTTCATTTAACCTAAGAGACAGAAGTTTTAGTATCCATAAATATAGAAATGTTCCAGAACTATTAATCGTTGAGACTAGCAATCACTGTAAGTATTTGTAGATCCCCATTTCTATTCTGTTTTTTGATAGACAGTTTCTAATATGTTTATATGGAATCACATTTCTGGGAATGCCATCTGCCTTAAGTAACCTTGTAACCAAAGTTAATCTTGTGTTTTGAGATGATTTAACTCTAGCTATAATAGCTTAATTGTACTCTGTAATCTGCCTATTTAAAACTAGATAGCCTGCAGAAAAACAAAGTAAATGATCTAACCAGGCCTTAGGCACCTCTTGTACTTATGTTTTCAAGCAAACATAAACATTTAACATTAATATTAGATTATATTCCCTATTTCAACTTCATGACCCTTCTTTGCCTCTGACCCTGAATAATGTGTGAATGTGTGTGTATGTATATGTATATATATATATAT